ATATATATATATATATATATATATATATATATATATATATAACTGAACTTATACAAACGACCACACAACTCTGAGGTCATATTCTGCACTTGAGTGATCTCTTCTCTGATTTGCCAAAGTGGAGTGATGTTGCCATACAGAGGTTGTTTGCGGTAGACCCTCGGCTTATGATAAAAGAATATTGCAACTGCTTATATAAACTATTGCAACTGCTTATATAAACTATCAGAACTAAGCTTACAATGCAAAACAGCGAGACAGCGGATCTTGAGTGATATATGGTATTGACTGCAATAGTGTCAACTTAATGGATCTTGAGTGAGGTATGGTACTAACTACATAATAGTGTTAGCTTGGTCCATTAAGGTTCATTATTTGGCTTCCCAGCAAGTACTACAGTGTAGAATGGATAATATCTGGACATCACCAATAACAACCCCTAGAAACCAGGAAATCAGGTGCGATATCCAAGAGGATTACGTGAACTTCAGGTTTTTATTTGTTTTGATTATGTGATCAAGACAAAGATCTTCAACAGAGATGTACATGAAATTACATATCTTTACGGAAAACTTATTGTCACATGCATGTTTTCCTTACGATGAGTGGATGAATGTCTTTGAACTAGTCGGAAGTAAAAGATCAGTGATCATTTGGATAACTAAAAGTGAGTTAGATTCAATAGACTACTATGGAAGTTCTCTTATTAGTGACTAATATATTAGTATATCACACCATTTTTTTAATGTGATCTGACTAGATGTGTAACTTAAGACATTAGTATGACCATTTTTTAGTCATAAACATGGTAATTAATTTTCTTTTGAGTATGTTAACTGAACACACACACGAAGATGCACACTTGTATAAGTTATGTGCATGTTAAATGTATAAACTAAAGCTGCAGGAGAGCTATCAATTATGTGCTAGATATGCCTATAGGGGTCCTTTTCTTCTGTCCCAAGAATGTTCTTTCATTACAAAACAATCTTGACTGCTTCACACCAATCTATTCTATGTAACTTTTCTATTCTATGTAATAACTAATTACTATAATTCTTTTCAGAATACATTTACAGATATTATTAAGGAGAAGATAGGTGAGACTTCAACTTCAAGGGATGAAGAAGGTTTTGAAGTAGGTGATGAAGAGATGGAAAGAAACATGGCAACAAATGGAGATGGGGAAGGAGAAAAACTAGCGAAGAAACTATTGTGGATTTGTTGAAAACTATACCATATGAGCAACTATTGAAAACATGGATTGAAATAGTTGGAGGCGCAAAAAAAAAGAAGAATATATGGTCTTGGTCCCAAAAATTGTCTTCTGGCAGATTCACTGGACACTAATTGTGCATCCTCTAGTGCTTTTAATCCTCCAAATGTTCCTACTCAACAAGTTTTTGAAACACCCGAATTTCAACAACTTCTTGATCGTGCAATGGAGCAACGGATGGAGAACATGTTGGCACGAGTGCAAGCAGATATTCGGGAGGATATGCAAGAAGAAGTAAAAGTTGCGGCTCGTGCTGTCGTGCGTGAGATGCTTGGTTTACCTTCTCAACCACCACCAAGCGGCTCTGGTTGTCCCCCATCTTAGAATAGTAGACTTTATGTTATTAATTATTTAAGTTAAGACATGTTTTATTTACCAATAGACATATATATACTTCGTTGTTCTAGGATTAATAGTACTATGATTATGCTTACGTTCAAATTAATGAATTTAATTGCTTATTTCGTCTCATGTCGAATTATATAGAAAATTACATTCGTATTTCATCATTAATAATATAGGAATTATTCCTAGGATATTTATCAAATTAGCTACCAAATTAGCTATAGACAAAAATCCTACTAGTAATCTAGCTAGAACGTTTGTAAGTTTAGCCAGGGTTATTCCTAGCTATGTTGTAATGAAATCAACGATCACCAGGAAAAATTTGCTTGGAATTTAGCTAGCCTAGTCGTAGCAAATATTAGCATGGAATAAGTCCCTAGCTAATAGCCTAGCTACGCTTCAACAAAGTCAACATTGACCAAACAAAGTTTGCATGGAATTTAGCTACCACATGTCCTAGCTAATGATTGCGAGGGATTAGTGCCAAGCAAATATCCATAGCTATATTAGCAACGGATAACATAATTTTCTAGCAAAAATTTAACTAAGAGCATATTAGCTACGGAATTTAGCTAAGGTCAATTTCCTAGCTAAAGCGAAGTTAGCTAGGATCTTGGTAAGTTAGCTAGGATTTTGATTCCTAGCTAATGNCCATGACTGCTTGTAAAATTTATGGTTCTTGATCAATCTGAAAACCTTTAATCCAATGTTCATATCATTTTTGTTCTTCAACCACCAATGCACAAAGATAACAATACCGGGGACATATATATGGTCCCCGAAAAGCACTTTCTTCTCTGTTTTTTTGCTTTTGGACAGTAACAGTCGATTTCAATTTGTAACAGAAAAACCTCATTATGGAATCATTATGATGAATTAGGTGCTTTTTAAATATAAAGAAATTGAAATGGTTATCAATAAATGTCGAAACCGTTGCTTTGTCAGTCTCCTTCTTAGTAAGAGTTGTAATTGAGCTTGATTTTGTTAAGATTTAATACTATTTGTGTAGTTATGGAATTTCAATTAAAACCTTAAATTATTCAATTTATAACTCATTAAACAATTGGGGGTTATGGAGTTAGAAAAGTCACAACCCTCAATGAAGAGGTGTGAGTTATGGATGTAAATTTTAAAATAAGATAAATGATTAAAATGAACGGAAAAGGTCAAAAAATTAAGGAAAAAGATAAATAGGATTCCTGTACTATGTGAGGTGTCACCTCATCTTGTCAAGTCCGTCCTTTGTATATAGAGAGAGATAGATGAGTATGCAAAATGTTAGATGTCTTAAATTCACTGAGTCTCATTAATAGAATGCTTTACTAGGTACTTTTTTCACTTATTGAACCGCAGCTCAACTCCTTATTCCAATAAAGAAAATGGAGTACTCCCTCCGATCCAAAATAAGTGATTTTTTAGTTTTTTTTTTGTGGTCCAAAATAAGTGATTTTTCCAGATTTCAAGAATGAATTAATTATTTTCTTCCTACATTGTCCTTGGAGTAAATAGTGTTGAAATATGTATTAGGAGTATTTATGTGAGATAGTAAAGGTTAATATGGTCAATTCCATTGCTAATTAATGCTAAAAGGTGGATTTCTTAATCTGTGTGAAAACATCCAAAAAAATCACTTATTTTGGACCGGAGGGAGTAACATTTTGGGTTGGATTTTAATCCCACAATCTAAATTCTCTGTGAATTGTGATCTATTAGTGTAAGGACTTCTTTGGATCATGACTTCACTTAACATGGACCTGACAATCTATGAATGGAAATTCTGTCACCTATGCTCACCGGACGTCTGTCGAAATGCCTGAACAGCTTTCTGGTCACGAAATACGGTACTTGCCGGCTTAATATAATGACATGCTTCGCGATAACTATGATGCATTTCAATTAGCACATTGCACTTTTCTGAAAAGCTGCTTTATAGGTTTTTATCAAGAATTTATTGATCTAGCCAGCAACAAACAAAAAACACTACTATAAATAACGGGGAAGCAATGTTCATTTGCAATTAATCTAATTGGGAATGAAATAGTCATGAGGCATCCCATGGTCGCCGTAGCTGCCAATGGAAATGCGTCCATTCAGCTACACGTAATGAGATGTGTTATGATATAAAAAGAACTGAAAGCCTTTAATCATCTGCGTGAACTTGGAACTTGGCTGTGAGATTTCCCTGCTTTCTTCTTCCAATATAGTTTGCTAATGCTACTAGTACGTCCTTTCTTTTTATCAACCATGCTAAACAACCAAAAAGTTAGTCCATCAACCAGCTTGTTGTAACATTCTCTCCGTCCTTTGGAAACCAAGAGCGGTAGAAATATGATTGTCATACCCACTGCAAAGCCTAATCCAGCGGCTACATAGCTGTCAGCCCTGCTAATCATTTGCTCGTCTTCAGATGCTGGCTGCACAGGTGCTTCTACTCTGTCCTTATTGCAAGCTCTGTTCATTGGGAAGCCGCACAATCCCTTGTTTCCCATGAATGATTTATCATCAAATGTTTGAATTTGGTTGCCTCGAGGTATCTTCCACAAGTTCATTGTATGATAAATTTAAGAACGAAAGTTGTGGGATGCCTGAGAGCTTCTCCGGGACATGCCCATTTAACTTATTGAATGAGAGGTCTAGTGATCCCAGTTGTTTCAAATTTCCAGTTGCAGGGGAGATTTGTCCACTGAGAACATTGTGCGACAAGTTTAGAAGATAAAGAGATTTGAGTTCTCCGACTATCTCAGGGATTCCTCCAACGAAACTGTTGTTCAAAAAGTCAATTGAGTTGAAGGTAAACCAAATCTTTGGCGCGGACATTTCTTGTCCCATAAGAGTAAGAGTGACAGTATCCTGATAGTAAATCTCTACTTGTGCGCTTGAATCATCTCCAAAGAAAATTCTATTGGCAGCATATAGGTGATCAACACGTGATATCGCGGAGTCCACCTTCATAGATTCCAGATCCAAGAATAAGTTTCTTGGAAGAATGCCGCTAAAATTATTGGAAGCTAGGTCAATGATTTGGAGAGCAGGCCAGGTGTAATTGACCCCAGAGCAATCAATGTTGCCATTGAAATTATTGAAGTGTAACACAAGTACATGGAGATAGGACAACCTTCTCAACCAACAGGAAAAGGTATCACTTATCTTGTTGCTCCCCACGTTTAACACCTTTAGATTGCTGCAATTGGATAAAGACCGAGAAATCTTCCCTTCCAAGTGATTATGGCTTAGATATATTGTCTCCTAGCGACACTCCTCTGAAAAGTTGCCAGACATATTACCTCTGATATTGTTTCCTCCAAGGTTCAGTACTGTCAGGCTTTGTTTAGCTAAGCATGATGGTATACTTCCATTCAAACTATTGCTGGACAAGTCAAGTACTTCAAGATTGGTCGCACTGCATATTGAAGAAGGGATAGCACCACTGAGTTTGTTATTTGCAATGAGAAGAACAGGCATTTGAGAGGTGATTGCTGAATAAAACCATCAAATTTATTGCTAGACAAGTCCACATATAGTGCTGTAGGTGGTGGTAATGGAACTTCACCGGTAAGCAGGTTTGCATGAATATCAAAGCAATTTAGAAAGCCAACTCTAAAGGGTGCTTGTAAATGTGTGAATTGATTTAAATGGCTCTCTCTGTGAAAAGTTCCCCATATCCAGCTTGGTGTTTCACCTCTGATTTGGTTGTTCGATAGATCCAGCAATTCCAACCCAGTTTGACTTGACCTGGATATTAAGTAGAGAGAAAAATAGTACTAATAAAGAGACCACATTCTAAAAGCTCAATTCTAACTCTTGTAGCATGAATACAACTCTCACCTGCCTAGTGCCGAGCAGGTTCTTGTTGAAATGCTTCTTCGAAGTTGAACTGAGGTAATACTATTTTCCTTTTTGGCTTCTGACAATGCTATGCTTTGGTTTACTTTTTAAGAGCGTTACATGAATATCCATTAGGACATTCTTTCTCTACTTGCTGCAATAAAAGTTTTAAGCTGCTTCTTTAGATTGATTTTTCTACAAATCATTCACTTTCAGGGGAAAAACGTGCTGGTGCCGGTTTTACTTTGACTAAGTCAGTATAGTAGTTATCAGGTTCGTTATGACTATTGCCGCCCAACCTTTCATCACCCCTGTTGAATTTTCATGTTCGAAATCTTTAATCAGTTACCACCACATATTGGCCCACAATTTTTTTCGCATGGTCCAAGTCTATAGGTCTTAACCCTGCTATGCTGTTTTTACTTTTTAGAGTTGGCATAGACAAATCAAGAATATATGCAATGAGCACACTTGCATCTACTATATCAATCTAGGACTATAAATATGAATAGAGAAAAAATTATTTTCTAGACTTTGAAGACAAGTACATGAAAAACATCACTTTCTCTGCAAATAACTAAATACATCAGTTAAGCTTTGTTCTTCATGTGCATTTTACGAAAACACTAATATTTCCATGTGCATTTGTTATACAAAAACAGCCTACTTTAAGGCCACAACATCCACATATATGTTCATTTGTGGATATTCTACGAGGTAACAAAAAATACAACATCCAGACTTTACAAAGTAGCTACGCAAAAACCACCAAAAGCTTTAAAGCTTATCATTGATAATCATTCACACCATAGTCTACGAAAGAATTTCATTCTCTTTACATCGTGAGTAATTCCCATCGCAGCCTTGACTCGCTGATCCGAGTTGTATAATCTAAAAGCTGGGGATCCAAGGATAGAAAAGATCTTACCATGAATATCAAATACGTCATGCTCCCCTAACTTGTCAATTAAAATACCCATTCCCCTTAATTTATGTCTTCAATTTCAAAATTTCAGTGTTAGAAGTTAAAAAAAGAAAAACAGAAAAAAAGAGGCACTACATCATTCAAGACAAATCAAAGAATTTCTTATTGATTGGTAAAAAAGAAAGGCATACAGTAAGAAGAGGGTATTAACCACTGTACATACAATACGATATTTGAGGGCCTACCCAATAGATCAAAGTACAATACTCATTGCTTGTTCGAATCTCATCAGCAAAGATAAAGTGTCTCAGATTGGACAGAGCAAAACAAATACTACTTGGTATTTTAGTAGTCCACTATGTTATTAGCATGCAACTCCAATAAATGCCTTAGACCATCTCTAAACCGTCCATAAACCTTGGAACGGTGCCTTTCTGCTGCAGCTGTATGATGATTTGTGGCGAACTTGAACTCTGGAAATACAAAACCCTTTTTGCTGAAGAAAGTATCAATCATATTCTTCGACGCCTCAGGTGTCAATCGAAATCCATCCCAATGTATATGCGAAGCCCTATCTGAACATGCTACAGCTCCTTTCTCTCCACACTGCCTCAGAGGATCAAAGTTAAACGGACCACTTCCAGTACTACCGCAACAAACCTTCATCAACGTCTCTGTCTTGAATCCCAAGAATGCATGATTGCGTAGAACCGCCATAAACGCCTTGTAATAATCTGCATATATGATCTCAACTTCGGGGTACTTCAATCGCAGCTCCTCCAACGCTTGCCATAGATGATCATTGTGCAATGTTGCGAACAAATTTAGTCCTTTGTGACATTTAATTTTCCTGCTATTGTCGTCTTCGGGAAACATTGTTCGAAAACCTGGAAGGCAACCCATGGGAATAATTCCAGAAACCACAAAGTGTTTGGCCTCTGCATCTTTGATCAGTTGTTCGATAGAACTCTTGATTGTATCCACAACATCAGGGACAAGCTTGGACACTTCGGAAATAGATTTTGTATGCAAAAGAGAGTGCTTATAATCATTAAAACCAGGCTGATCCATATAGATGATAGCTTTTTGAAGAACCTTGTTTCTGCCGCAGTCATGAAAAGAGAAGCAATCCTTATAGAAGAGTTTCATAAAGGCGGAAATCTGCGAGTGATGAGACTGCTGAGGCGCCGGGATGCCATTCTTGATGAAACAAAAGGGACTCATAACTGTTGCTCCAGGCGTCATGAAACTAATACCGGACTCGAACTCAACGCCTTCGTTGGTGTAATGTTGTAGAGAAGGCAGACCAAGTACAGCAGCTAAATGATCAGAAGTAGAAGCAGAGTTGCTGTCTCCAAAGCTGTAAATGGAATAAAAAGGGGAAGATTGTTCCTGCGCCTTAGCGGAAGAAGCAGCAAAAATGATTAACAGCAAGATGAGGAAGAAACAGTGGTTGGTAAGGGAAGCCATTGAAGGAGAAGAAACAACGATCATAAGCAGAAGGCACGGGAAAACTTAGTTTAGGTTACTGGTAGTATTTATAGAGGTAAGCTCATCCGTGGAGTTTAAGCAATGTTACAGAAACCTAGTAGTAATAGGAAAAATTCTGACTGCGGCAAATTTCCATATATGCTTTATTTTCTTACTTTTGCTTCAAGTTTCTATTAGAGAAACGCTTAAATTTGCTTGATTAAAAGGCCTACGGTTTAAGCTATGTTACAGTCTTACAGAAACCTAGTATATTTTTCGCTTGATGTTTCCATATTCAGTTTTGAAGCAGAATTTAAAACTATGAGGTAACTTTATTAAAGGGGAAAAGACCGGAGTACCGATAAAAGTGAAACTATTTACCCTGTCCTACCCATTAAAGAATTTTACCCACTAAATAATTACAATCTCCTACCCATTTAATAAATAAACAGGAATATCAAAATAACTACCCCACGCTTAATGCCCTGCCTATAAAAACGCAAAAGCTGCTCAAAATTTTAGAAAATCAGCGCACAAAATTGAGATTTCCATTGATATTCCCTAATTTGAAGATCACTAAGTGTGAAAAAATAGATCGAAGATGTTGATTCGCATCTTCTTTTCGGATTTTGATTTCGCTGTTGTTTTCAGATTTTGATTTCGCTGTTGTTTTGATTTTGATTTCGGAGCTAAACTTCTGAATTTTAGCTGAAAATTCTAATCTAGGTTTGGAGATCTGGAGATCTAGAGGTTTGATTTCGCTGTTGTTTTGTTGAAATTTCGAACACTGTTGATTTCGAACACTGTTAAAATTTGCATTGTTGAGATTCAATTTTGGACATAAAAGTGATTATAACTTTAGAATCATGGAAAATATTCCAATTCTGCTGCAACATAGTGGAGAATGGGATGATAACAATAATTTCATAAATTTTCATGTTGATGCAATTCTAATAAAGACCTCTTGGAAATTTGAACAACTTCTCAGAGAAATTGCAAAGCAACTGCAAAAGGACAGTAAAACAATAGTTATTCAGTATGCTATTGCTCAAGGATATCCACCAATTACAATTTGCAGCGATATGAGTGTTAGTGTTTACATGGAATTGAAAAAATCAAGTGCAGGGATGACAACACTTCCCCTGTGTGTGTCGTTTGCTAAAAACATTATAGCTGCAAGCACCTCCAGTTTCGATGTTGCTCAAATTTCATCAGAAATTGCACAATTTGAAAGCACTGATATGATTACTACGTTTGATGTGCAAGAAGGAGATGACGCCATTTTAGAACTTGATGATGCAAACATCATAACTGATCAATTTCATCAAAATGTTGAAAAGGGACAAATTTATGAAGACAAGAACCTGTTGGCTCTCGTTATGAAACAGTATGCTGTTAGAGAAAAATGTCAATATCGGGTTCATAAATCATGCCCAAGAAGGTCCGTCTGCATGTTTTCAAGTAAAAAACTATGTGATACCTATATAGTATATAAGTATGCTAAATCAGTATACTATGCGAGTATGGAATTGTATTGGTTTGTCTGTGTTTTTAATCAGTGATACCGGTATAGTATATAAGTATGTTATATCAGTATACTATGCGAGTATATAACTGTATTAGTTTGTCTTTGTTATTATCAGTAAAACATAATACCAATATAGTATATATGTATGCTAAATCAGTATACTATGTGAGTATAGAATTATGCTGCTTTGTCTATATTTTTTATCAGCAAAATATGATGTTGATACAATATATAAGTATACCTATATAAGTATACCAACAGAGTATACCATGTGAGTATATAATTGTATGGATTTTTGTGTGTGTTTTTATCAATAAAATATTATACATAACTGTATTTGTATTATAAACAGGTATATCCTTGAATGCGTGGATGAAAGATGCACTTGGAGACTTAAAGCATCAAGCCTGCGAGCATCAAATCTTTTCAAAGTGACAGATTTCAATTCTGTCCACAGTTGTTTAACTGATAAGAGATTTTGTTCACAAAAGCAAGCTGTCTCAGCTTTTGTTGCAGCTGTGGTACAAGATAAACTTGTTGACCCGAAAACCATATATACACCAACAGATATCCAGAGAGACATCCAAAAAGCATATGGTATGGACTTAAGCTACATGCAAGCATGGAGATCAAAAGAAAAAGCAATGCAATTATTGAGACGATCACCAAGTGAATCATACAAGAAAATGCCAACATATCTTTATATGTTAGAGT